CAAGAAAGGCCTTGAGACTCTTCTCAATGAACCACCAGAAAACCAGAAGCGGCGCTGTGGCTCAAGTGGTAGAGCACTCGCCTTGAGCTGAAAAGCTCAAGGAGCAGTGCTCAGGCCCAGAGTTCACCACTACCACCACTACTACCACCACCACGACCAACAACAGAGATACGTGTACTCACAAACAGACAAGTTAAATTGTGTATGTGTATGAGAGAGAGAGCGAGAGAGAGAGAAAGAGAGAGAGTGAATTTAAAGTCAAGGGGGAAAGAACAACCTATCTTCATTGGAAGGAAAAAAAGGAATCATTACTCTCTATTTTAGTCAGACAAGAATAGTTTCTCCAAAAGCCAACTGTAGCTCTTGTATCTTCGTGGCATCTGTGGGAAGGAAAACTGTGGATAAACAGAGTGTATTATGGCAAAAATATGAGTGGATGCTACCCAAACAAAACAGAGGTGAGAGATTTTACAAAGTGAGGAGAATGTCTTCATGATAGCATTGAAAAGAATCCTCTGTGTGTGTGTGTGTCTGTGTGTGTGTGTGTGTGTGTGTATTTCTATTACTGTATTTTCATGAGTACACTAAAATATAATGTGGATTCCAAATGGCAGAGAAAAACCGAACAGAATTATCCTTGGCTGTACTGACAGAAGTTACCACCCCATAAATCTTCATGTGAATGTGGAAAAATCTGACCCAAGCAGATGGGTCTCATGCTGTTCTCTGAAAACATGCACAGATTTCTGATCTTCAGGACCAGGAAATGAAGTCAGCGTTAAAACTGTACAGTAGGTGCCACGATCCACCTACCAGAATTTCAACTTAAAAGACCCCTCACGAAAGCAATAGTCCTTCTTCAGAAACAGAACACAAAGATAGAGCGCTGGTGGTCATGCCTGTAATCCCAGCACCTGAGGGAGGTTGAGATCACCTTTTAAAACCAGCTCCAATTAACTGTAGGGGGGGGGTGGGGATGGGGCTGAAAATGGAGCTGCGGGATCAAGTGGAAGAGCAGAAGCCTTGAACTAAAGAGCTCAGGGACAGAGCCCAGGCCCAGGTTCAAACCCCAGGACTGGCAAAGAAGAAAAACGACAGGAAAGAAAGGAAAAGGAAAGAGGGAAGGAGGGAAGGAAGGAAGGAAGGAGGGAAGGAAGGAAGGAAGGAAGGGGAGAGGGAGGGAAGAAGGAAGGAACGCAAAGGAGGGAGAGGGAGGGGGAGGGAGGGAAGAAGGGAGTTAGTGGGGAGGGAGGGAGGAGGGAAGAAGGAAGGAAGGAAAGAAGGAAGGAAGGAAGGAAAAAATAGGGCAAAGTGGTATGTTATGTCCTGGTGGAACATACTTTTTTTTTTTCTGCCGGTCCTGCGTCTTGAACTCAGGGCCTGGGCGCTGTTCCTGAGCTTCTTTTTACTCAAGGTTAGTGCTCTACCACTTGAGCCACAGCACCATTTCCAGCTCTTTCTGTGTATGTGGTTCTGAGGAATGGAACCCAGGGCTTCATGCATGCGAGGCAAGCACTTTACCACTGAGCCACCTTCCCAGCCCTGGAACATGCTCTTGATACAAGAACAAAACAAGAAAGGATTGTGGCACTGGGTTGACTGGGTTGACTGGGTTGACGCTTATCATTTTTGGAAAATCCTCTCCTGTGTTTTCGGGGGCTCCCCATCCTCCATCCTCCATACCGCTTACAAAAGGCATATTCTTGATGTCTGACATAGTTGCCTGGTAAAACTCTCCACCTTATTAGCCCAAGGATCTCTTTTCCAACAGCACTACTTCAAAGCATTCATAAACGGAGCCACCCCCTGCACCCCCTACCTTTGGGCTTGAAGACCCAAGAAAAGAGTCTCTATCAAGTAATTAGAGCCTCTGAGATTTGAATTCCCACTCCACGGTTTTCAGCAACACTGGGTCTGGAAGAGAAGCGGCTGATCAGGCTGGGAGCTTGGTTTACACCATGGGAGTAAGAACAAGTGTATTTGGAATCCTGAGAACTACAGTCTCACCATAAGAAAAGAGAAAGAGAGAAAAGAAAAAAGAAGCCAGGCGCCAGTGGCTCACGCCTGTCATCCTAGCTACTCAAGAGGCTGAGAGCTGAGGATCACAGTTCAAAGCCAGCCCAGGCAGGAAAGTCTATGAGACTCTTTTCTCCAATGAACCACCAGAAAACCGGAAGTGGCGCTGTGGCTCAGGTGGTAGAGCGCTGGCCTTGAGCTGAAGAGCTGAGGGACAGCGCCCAGGCCCAGCGTTCAAACCCATGATCGACAAAAAAAAAAAAAAAGTCTCTCACTTTCCTTGGTATATCAGTCTCCTAGCTCAATAGCCAACTTGGCAGAACAGAATCACAATTTTTTATTTTGATTTTTTTAATGCGAGCACTAGGGTTTGGCTTTGAAGGTCTAGGCATTGTCCCTGAGCTGTTTTTGCTGTATCTTTAACTATCCCAAAGAAGCCATAAAATAATTCCCATTCAGATAATCGAAAATGTTTTTAAACCCCAGGAAGAAAATAATACAGAATAGTTCACCAAGGCCCAAATAACAATTCTTTTGGTTATGGGAATTTTTTCTGGGGGGAGGGGAGGAGAGGTTGGGGTTCAGAATCCAACACAAGGTCTCCTGTGTGCTCAGCAGATCCTCTACTATTGAGCTACATACCCAAGCTCAGTAGCTTTTTTTTTTTCTGGAATTTAAATGTGTATGAATACTTAATTGCTCAAATATTACACATGTCAATCCACTGTCTCTGTGCCTTTGGAACAGATGATTATGAAAATGAATGGTTGTCAAAGCGCACCGGTGGCTCCCATGTGTAACTGTGGCTTCTCAGGAGGTTTAGCTTTGAGGATCACGGTTCAAATCAACCTAGGCAGAAAAGTCCTTGAGACTCTTTTCTGCAATTAACCACCCCAAAGCCGGAAGTGGAGCTGTGGTTCCAATGGTAGAGCAGTAGCCTTGTGTCAAAAAGGTAAGGGACAGCACCTAGGCCCTGAGTTCAAGTCCCAGCACCAGCCTTGAAAAAAAAAGTTCTGGGCTGGGAAGGTGGCTCAGTGGTAGAGCACTTGCCTAGCATGCATTAAGCCCTGGGTTTGATTCCTCAGTACCACATACACAGAAAAAGCCAAGTGCTGTGGCTCAAGTGGTAGAGCGCTAGCCTTGAGCAAAAGAAGCTCAGGGACAGCGTCCAGGCCCTGAGTTCAAGCCCCAGGACTGGCAAAAAAGAAAAAAGTTCTGGAAAATGTGGGACTTGACTGTAACGGCTCTAAACTAGACTATGTACTATAATTTTGCACGTATACATGCATTTGTGTGCACACATGCATGAATTATGTATGCTCATGCGCCCACACACATCTTACACACGCATGTGTGTTGCATATGTGTGTATACACAGATGTACACTGCTTAAACATTTACTTATGTGTTGCATTTATGTGCATATATAAACATGTATCCTTTATATAAATGTACATGGTTTGTATGCATATACATTTGTGTGTATACATACACATGCACCCTACATGGCTGTGTGTGTTATGACATGTGTGCATGTGTGCACAGTCTGTATTTCCATGTGCACAGGCGTGCATACCCTACCCATGCATGTAAGGTCCCATGCATGTTGTGCTCACGGATCATCAGCTCTGCTACGCAGCTATCCGACGGAGGAGACAAGTCAAATCTGCTTTCAGTGTTATCTTTAGGAAGCCCGTATCAATCCCTCTGTGCAAGGTTTCCAGGCCTGGCTGTGTACCTCTCTGACCACCTGCCTAGGAGATTGGCTATATTTTGCCAAGGTGCAGATTGGAAGGTTCCAGCAGGCCTCTTTTCCCAGGAAGCCAAGCCACCAGGGAGGCATGAGATGCTTCAACATCAGAGACCTGGGCAGACCCTGCCCAGGGGGCCATGATCCCTACCTCACACCACGTGGGTGACATCACATCCAGGCTTGGTCCTCAGCCCCTGGGAACTTCCCATCCCACTCTGAGTGGAGTGGGGGCAAAGAAAGCCTGGATGTGACCCTTCCTGCCATCTCTCACCACCTTCCCCTCTCTCCTCCCCTCCAAGGAGGCCAGAAGGGCACAGGGCTGTGTAAGCCTCTATGGGGGGGGGCCCACACCTCCTCCCTCTCCCCCAAGCAGAGTGGGGCTCCATCCTGGGGGAGGGGAGGAGCCTGCTGCATGGGTGAAGTAGCCTCTCCCTTTGGCCATACCCGGACTTTCTTCTTCTTCCTCCTCCTCCTCCTCCTCCTCCTTCTCCTCCTCCTCCTTTTTCTCCTCCTCCTCCTCCTTTTTCTCCTCCTCCAACACTCCTTGTTTTATCTCCTTCCATGGGGGGCTGTTGTGGGGGGAAGAAGAGATGTCTACAAACCCTTCTATTGGCCAGGAATAATCTCAGACAAAAATAACATCTCAAGGCAGGCACTCCCTTGGCTTTCAAGAATCGCAGAGCGGGGAGGCAAGGAAAGGGAGGACAAATGTGATTCTTGGTGCTTAGTATTATTTTTTTCTCTTGAAAACAAAACTAAAAGCACAAAAATAGCACCCCATCCAGCTAAAGTGGGTATTTGACATTGACCACCGACCTCCCCCTCCCTAGGAGGCCAACAGGCACCTGGCTCACCTGAAGGTAAAAAAAAAAAAAACAGCCCCAAAGCTGTCAGAGAGAGAGAGAGAGAGAGAGAGAGAGAGGGAGGGAGAGGGAGAGAGAGAGAGGGTGGGCCAGGAGAGAGGTGATTCTGACCTTTACCCCAAGCCAGTGGCCAGATTTCCTGGGGGGTGGGGGTGAGGGGAGAAGTTGGGGTGTGGATGATGGGGGGCTGGTGGCTTCTCCCCCAGGGGTGCAGCAGAGATGAGATTTGCAAAGGGGGCGGGGCGACCCTAGCCTTTAAATTAAACGAATAAATAAAAAAAGCATCTGTGCTCCCAAGGCTGGTCCGGGCTCTAAGCCTCCCTCCCTCCCCCCTTCCCTCCCTCCACTCCCCCCCACCCCCATATTACCTGCGTGTGGAACTGGGGGGGAGGAGGGGTGGGTGAGCCTGATCTGCCGCTCCACGCCCAGTCTGAGCCTCCTCCTCCTTCTCCTCCTCGGATGATGATCCTGCCAGGGGAAAAAAAAAAAATAAACCTCCACCCCGACCCGGGGGCCAGCTTCCAGGAGGCTGCGAGGAGGGAGGGAGGGAGGAGGGGGAGGGGGAGGGACGCCCGCACTGCGCCTGCGCGCTGGCCAGTGCAGTTCTATGTGTGTGTGGGGGGGGGGAGTGGAGGGAGGGAGATCTGGGGTTGGGGAGGTGGGGGGGGGGGTGGAGGTAGGGTGAGGAGCTGTCCCCCCCCACAGGGGGTATAGGGCTGAAAATGGCCAACCCCTTTGGAGAGAGAGAGAGAGAGAGAGAGAGAGAGAGCAGGTCAAAAGTGATGATAGTTCCCTGCTCAGGAAGGTGTGGGTGTGTCTTCTCCTCTTCCTTTTCCACCCTGACTGTGTGGATTTCTTTTTTCTTTTTTTAATTTTCCTTGAGGTTTTGGGGGGAAGAGGGAGGGGGAAATCAGACATCTGGGGTTGGAAGTGAGGCTCAGGTTGCCTAGCCAGGCTCAAGGCCCAGAGTTCCAATCGCCATACTAAAGAGGAGTGTGGTCCACGAAGAAATGGACCCCCCACCCTGACTTAGGGAACTGTCACCCCTCTGTTTATGACCTTTGTGATACCGATTTGGCATTTAAAATAAATAAATAAATAATACAAGGCTGGGAAGGTGGCTCAGTCGGTAGAGTGCTTTGCCTAGCATGCATGAAGCCCTGGGTTCGTTTCCTCAGTACCATGTACACAGAAAAAGCTGCAAATGGTGCTGTGGCTCAAGTGGTAGAGTGCTAGCCTTGAGCAAAAAAGAAGCTCAGGGACAGTGTCCAAGCCCTGAGTTCAAGCCCAGGATTGGCAATAATAATAATAACACATTTTCTTTTATTCAACTAAAGCGTCCAGGGCTGGGAAGGTGGCTCAGTGGTAGAGTGCTTGCCTTGCATGCATGAGGCCCTGGGTTTGATTCCTCAGCACCACATCAGCAGAAAAAACTGGAAGTGACACTGTGACTCAAGTGGTAGAGCACTTGCCTTGAGCTGAAGAGCTGAGGGACAGCGCCCAGGCCCAGAGTTCAGGCCCCACGACTGACAAAAAAAAAGGGTCAAATATCTGTCAACATCTGTGAATCACAGATTGTGGCCTCCTCAGAGCCTTCCCCATCTTTAAGGTGAAAGTCCTGACCTTGAAGAAAGAATTCTACTCCCCTCTGTATACTCCAATCCCAAGGCAAATTAAATACAATGTCTTACAAACACACTCGATCAGATGACAGCTCCCACCTGTCATCTTAGCTACTCAGGAGGCTGAGACCTGAGGATCAGGGTTCAAAGTCAGCCCAGGCAGGAAAGTCAGTGAAGAGTCTTATCTCCAATGAACCATCTAAAAACTGGAAGCGGAGCTACGGCTCCATGTGGTAGAGCACTAGCCTTGAGCACAAAGAACTCAAGCGACAGTGGTCATGCCCTGAGTTCAAGTCCCAGGACTGGCAAAAAGAGGGAAAAGAAAAGTGTAGGTGCTTTCTGGGAAGAAATCTAGGTGTTCACTGAGCGTGTATCTGTGCGGTGCCCTCCGCAGGCAGCCTGGGCTGCTTTTCAATGAGTCAATATTCTTTGGCCATTTTGAGTCCTGGGCACAGATCTGAGAAATGAGCTTAAGCACAGTTGTCAGTGGAGAGCTTCCAGCTGCTTCTGTAGAAAACCTGGAGCATGTGCTTGAAGAGGGGAAAAGGGCTAAAAGACCAAGTACTAAGGGCTGGGAATGTGGCTCAGTGGTACAGTGCTTGCCTAGCATGCATGAAGCCCTGGGTTCCATTCCTCAGTACCACAGACACAGAAAAAGCTGTGTATGGCTCAATTGGTAAAGAGCTACCTTCGAGCAAAAAGAAGCTCAGGGACAGTGTTCTCAGGCCCCGAGTTCAAGTCCTAGGTCTGGCAAACAAAAAAGAAACAGGAAAAAGAAAAAATACAAGGAAAAGACCAAGCACTGATCATTAAGTTGTTGCTGACATTCTGTTTAAGTTTGGTTTGAATCCAGAACCTCACTATTGATTTAGGCTCTTATACCAAGCAAGCTGGTCCAACTAGTTTCTCTTTCTCTGTCCATTTCTTCCTCCCTGGCCTCTGTCTCTGTTTCTTTCTCTATCTTTGTTTTTCTCTGTGTGTCTCTCTATCTCTGTTATATCTATATGTCTCTCACAGACACACAGACACACACACACAGACACACACACACATAAACAGCCCACTGCACCATCTTGGCAAAACTTACCCAAAGAGATTCCTCCCCAAGGCAAACAGAATGAATGTTCAAGCAAAAATCGCCATTTGTTCTGAATTCAGATGAGCTCTCAACTGAGCGTTGGACGTGTAATCTCAAGACAGTTCACACTTTCTAGAAGGAAAGATCTAGATCTGTGTTGCTGCTGTTGTTATTGTTCAGACAGGCATGAATGGTGCTGATCTAGATGACGAATAGAGCAGCCACAGGAACCTCAAAAAAAAAGAAAAAGCAAAACAAAAAAACTTGGGCTGATCTGCACGACTCAGCTAGACTTTGCTTCTCTTTCAGGAGGAGGGAGAAGAAAAGCGCTAGCAAGAAAAAATTGAGTATAGGGCTGGGAAGGTGGCTCAGTGGTAGAGCGCTTGCTTTGCAATGCATGAGGCCATGGGTTTGATTCCTCAGCACCACATAAGCACAAAGAAAAAAGTTGGAAGTGGTGCTATGGCTCAAGTGGTAGAGCGCTAGCCTTGAGCTGAAGAGCTGAGGGACAGCGCCCAGGCCCAGAGTTCAGGCCCCACAACTGGACCCAAAAAAGAAAAGAAAAAGAAAAAATTGAGTATGGAAAGAGATTAGGAAAAAAAAAAAGACCTAGAATGAACTGTCTGCCGGAGAGAGTTATTACAGTGACACAGAGGATTTATCCCAGTTGCTACTTTGAGTGACACCGAGATACCGAGAGATACGAAAGAGGATTTTTTTTTTGAAGACATTTTGTGATGTGTAATAAATGGAATTCTTTTGTGCTGTAATACTAAGGGCTTTTCCTTGCAAGTGTCAAAAACTCAGACTAAAGCCGATTTAAGGGAAAGGAACAGATCTAGCTTAATAATAAAAAAATAATAATAAAAAAATACCCATGGATGGGTGACTTCACATAGGATTGGATCCAGGAAAGTTAATACTTTCTTTGAAGCAGAGTGTCTTCTCGCTATTGACTTTGCAGAGTCTGTTCTGACATAGCAATTTCTTCCTACCAAATAGTATTTGGCACAGCTTTTCTTTCGTGTACGGAAAATTCTTGATAGGTATAGAACCAACATCCCTCAAACCTTTGACTGTGTGACCAGAGTTCCTCATTCTCCATGTGGGAATATCTCCTTCATCTGCTCCATCTTGGTTCAGATCCCACTACTGCAGACTAAGTAAGCAAACAAGGGACTGTAGCTAGCTCAGAGTGATGATAGACAAGGTGTTTCCACACAGAAATGTGAACCATAGAAATAAGATCATGTAGCCATGTTCTTTTAAATAAAATGAGGAAGCCAAAATAGGAGGACCATGCTTCAAAGCCAGCCCAAGCAAGAAAGTCCATGAGACTAGGGCCTAGATGCTGTCCCTCAGCTCTTCAGCTCAAGGAGACGCTCTACCACTTGAACCACAGCACTACTTCTGGTTTTCTGGTGGTTTATTGGAGATAAGAGTCTCATTGACTTTGCTGCCTGGGCTGGCTTTGAACCGCCATCCTCAGATCTCAGCCTCCTGAGTTGCTAGGATGACAGGCGTGAGCTACGGGGAACCGGCTCCATGAGACTCTTATCTCCAATGAACTACCAAGAAACCAGAAGTGGAGGTGTGGCTCAAGTGGTAGAGCACCAGCCTTGAGCGATAAAGTGAAGGGATGACACCCAAAGCCAGAGGTTAGACCTTAGCATCAGCACACACTCACACACGTGCACACACACACACACACACACACACGCCTGATTTGCAGACATGTCACTATCATGTTCCTTTTCTCCAGAGCAAATCTTACGAACCATAGCTCTGCTCAGAGAATAGGCAAAGGTGGCAACAGCTCAGGTCCCGTGAGCAGGAAGTTGCATTTCTCTCTGGATAAAGAGTCAGACGAGGTTTCGTGACACATTTTACCTTGGTATGAGACTTTCCCATTTCCTTGAAGCATAATGCTCCATTGATTACCAGCTGAGTCACGGATTGAGCCTGTTTCTCACACAGCCAGTGGGAAGTGTAATTCCTCAGTGCCTCTCCGCAGACATTTATAGATTTTTCAGTCCATTGAGTTATAAAAGACAACTAAGTCTCCTTTTCCCTCCCTCTCTGGAAGACCTTTAAAGAAATCTTGTTCTTGACTGCTCAGTCACTGAACATAATTATAGACGTCTGCATAAAAGCAAGACTCAAGGCGACGAGGACTGAAAAGAAAATCGGAGTTGATCTGTAAAGGAACAGAAAGCAGAGGATTGAAGGCCAGAGATCTGTTTTCCACCTTTGCTCCTGCTCAAAAGGTAGAAGAATGGAAAAATAAGACAGAGATGCCAAAGAAGGGAATAAAAAGCAGGTTCACGCACCAGGATAGGAATCTCAAAAAAGAGAACACTTGAAGTAATTTGGTAGGTCATTACGCGTGGTGGCACTGATCAGGTGACCTACAGCGGAAGTGTGAAATAGGAGGATTAAGGTCCAACTCTTGCAGGTAAAAAGAGAGACCCTATCTCACAAAGAATCAGGGTCCTTTTAGTGCCCTGTCCAGATGCTATAGTTATAGGATAAGATTCATGACTCTAGCCGGGCGCTGGTGGCTCATGCCTGTAATCCTAGCTACTCAGGAGGCTGAGATCTGAGGATCGCAGTTCAAAGCCATCCCGGGCAGGAGAGACCGTGAGACTCCTTTCTCCAATAAACCACTAGAAAACCGGAAGTGGTGCTGTGGCTTAAGTGGTAGAGCGCTCGCCTTGAGCTGAAGAGCTGAGGGGCAGCGC